AATTTTCGATGTATGCAACACGGACATCCACAGTGTACGAATAGTTGCATCAACGCGTTACTTATCACCAACGACGCGGTGCGCGGTAGTGGGGTGGCGTGCTATGCGATATATCGATTGTCATGCCATTCAAGCCTATGGAAAAGGATCGATAAACAGGGTGTTCGCAGCGAACATCTTAATAATCGATTCTTCGCCATAGGTTTAAATGGCAAAACGATCGATACATCGCAATTCACGCCACGCCCCTGGCTGCGCGGTGCCTCCTTCGTCCTCCTTCGTCGAAAGTACTACTTCCGCGTGCCTTACTCTACCTTTCTCGGCGGAATTCGCGACATTTTTCTTTATCTAACATTCCTCACATCTTTTTCCGATGATAGGACTTACATCGCGGAACTTTTAAGGACTACCCTGACCATTTAAGTTAGAGAATGACCCCTTCTAAGCAAAATTAATTCATTCGAGAGGTGTTTAAAAAATCTTGCATCCTCTGAGAGCTCCTTGGAACCTGCCCCCCCCCCCTTTATCAGGAAGGGAACCCCGTCCTCTTTTTGGCCGGGCCCCACCCCGGAAAATTTGGAGCCAGTCCACCTACGGAGTTCGTTGTTTAATTTATCCAAAACTAAAGAGAGTTTCTCAGTCTGTGTCCTATCTTGCTCACAGTTTCGCAGAATGCTAGTCAAGGAACTAAAGTTTGTCAAATTTGACGTAAATTTCACGTCTTTGCTGAGCCGATCGCGTCTGCGAGGAGCGATAAAGGGAGCCCTCGCGCAAATGCTTCGTAAAATGTCGTAAGAACCGCCAAAGCGGCGCCGAGGAGATCCCAGAGGCGGCAAAAGTTCTGGCCATTAAATAGCGATATCATAAAATATGCCCGCTATGCAGCCCTCTCCGTTTTGCCGATGCAGGACACAGCTCCCCTCGGCTGCGCGTTATTCATTTGAAGATGATTTGGGTCAAAGTATTGAGTTCAGATTAGTGAGTGTTCAGCATCGAAAACTGAGAATCGATACTTTTACCCCACCGTGGTTCTTCCATTATAACGAATATTGAATCGGTCTCTGGTGTAGGGGCGTAAGTTCAAATCAAGAAATTTTGCACCCCCCCCCCTTCTGAACGGTAGTCTTATTTCTGAGATTTTTTTTATTTTGGAAGAAAGATCAATACCTCTGAATTCGTGTACCTGTCCAACGGTTACACCTCCATACTTCACTTGGCAAACAATAATGTGTACCATTTTCAAAATTAGCTTTAAGTCTACTTCTCTTAATTCACAAATAATATCTTAGTTTTATTTATTTCCTTAAATAGGGGCGTAAGTAAATTCAAACTTCCGAATTAGCCTAATAAGCGTTCTAAAAGTTTTTCCTCCAAAAATCATATCAGGACTTTCAAGTAGATGTTTACTCGTCCAACGAACATACCAGACAATTTTTGTTATCCGTCTTGAGAAGAAAATCAATTTTTGCCTCCCCTGTAAGATTTACTTTAACCCCCGTAATTCTCTACACCCTTGTACCAGACACCAATTCAATTTGAATTTCCACAATATAACAAATGATTTCCTGCTACACGGCTACACCAAGTTCACATCTCTGTTCTATGGTAGTATGGGTTGCATGTACCAATACGTGCAGGCGCTTGGTGTCCTCATAGCATGAATCGTCACCTCAAGTTGCAGCAGTGGCGAGGCGACAATGATCGATTATCGATATTTCTCCATTTGCAGCTGTGGTAAAGAATTGATTGTTACGTTGTACGTTGCTAACACCCTATAAATCGATCCTTTTCCATAGGTTTAAATGACCGATGAATCGATATATCGCAAAGCACGCCACGCCACTGAGTTGCAGGTGAATGGTTAGGTGTCATTCCCTTGAGCAATGAGGGACGAGAAACCAAAGTGCATGAAGCAAGAGCTGCAAAGGGATAGCCGTCGGCGTCCTATGCAAGTAAGTAGTAGTCCGTGCTAAGTAAAAACGCCGTATGAGCCATCAGGTGTTGCCAAATTTCCTTCGACAAATCATTAATTTCCAGGGAAATTTGTGAATGTTTCTCTTCCGATTTTTCACAGGATTCCGTTCGTCATTTGACCTAAAAATTCTGAAAATTTCAAGTAAAATTATCGAACAATGTCTACGAAATTAAGTACTTCAAAGAAGAAATTTGGCAATATTCGAATGCTTATACGGCGTTTTCACTTGGGACGGCAATATGGAGCTGCACGACCTGGCAACGAGGGCTGCTTTTAATCAGGAAAAAACAAATCATCGTGTAGCTGCTCTCAAGTATAAAATTAGCAATTCCGCTTCTGAAAACAATGCGTTTCATGCTTGGAAGTGAGTTTTTCCACCCGTGAGATTCCACTCAGAGGCGGATGGCATTTATGTCAAGATGTAACTCGGGAAGTAATTATTGAGGATAACATTTCTTTCCCTCGAGTAGGGGCGAAAATATTTTCGAGACCGCGAGTTAATAATTGAGGCAATGTAATCGAGCGCGGCAAATGTTTAGTTGGGCCGCCCCTAAATCATTTTGTAACGCACTTTTTCGGCATTTTTGACCCCGTCCCCCTCGTAACGCTCTTGTGACGTATAAGCCTAATAACGCGTAAAAACAAAATCGTCACCTCCCGGCCGAAGTATCACAAGCGCCATGCGTCATTTAAACATTCCCGCCGCCATTCTATTTTTTACAGAGGAACTGCTCCACGAAGTTGTCGGAAAACACTGAATTTTTTTTGTGCCACCGATAAAATTCAGTGAAATTTTCAAACGGATTCGACGAACAATTTATCTGTAAAAAAAAAAAAAATTGAGACGGAAAATTTTGGCGTTTGCGATACTTCGGCCGGAGGGTGATAAAATGGCGTAACGCTTCCCTAGACCTTCCCTCCCCCTAGAGCGTTACGTATTTTAGGGACGGCCCCTTATCCTGGGGGCCATGTAGGGCCTCTCAATTCCGCCTACAGGAACCTCCTGCTTTCATAGTCGGCTCCAATCAGCGAAGTTGACTCAAAAGAAAAAGTGGCCGCTTAGCTGCGACAGATCCAGCACGCCGTGCCGCACGGTAGACCAAGCCAATAGGAGACAAAATTTGAACACTTTACACGCTTTTAACTCCGGGTATACAAAAAGTCAAGGTTCTGCAAGTGGTTTACATTGGTTTCCTCGTAAAATTTTCTTCTCTAAGCACCCCTTGAAATTTAAAATGTGACTAAATAAACATTAAAATTTGCAACCTCTCTAATCGACTCGATCCACCGTGCGCCGCGCTTTGCCGGGTCACGCTCATTGCGAGTCACAACGCCACCGCCGCAGTGCCGCTCCCGCGTTGCCAGGTATGGCAATCCGGAGAGGATCAAGAGGAGTTGAAAGGAAGAAGAAGAGGAGGAGGAGGAAGAAAGAGATGGAGTGGAAGAGTGTGCTGCTGTCCTAAGAATGAACGCCGTATCTGCAATCAGGCCTTTCCATTTGTCCTCCGACAAATCACGAATTTCCAGGAAAATTTGTGAATATTTCTCCGCCCAGTTTCCGGTAGGGTGCGGCTCTGAAAAGTCTGACAGTTTCAAGGAGAAATTTTCAACAATTTCTTCAAAAATAAATATTTTTGAAGAAGGAATTTGGCAACATTTGCACGCTTCCACGTCGGTTTTACTTAGCGCGGCAGTGTGACGCTCGCGCCGAGTCAAAGCTTCGCTCCGCGCTTTCGTGCTTTGGGCTTTCGGCGGCGCGAACTCGCAGAGGGGTCACGTCCAGTGGCGAGGCGCGAGAATCGACCATCGATGCTATCCAATTTGAAGCTACGGTGAAGAATCGATTATAATGGTGTCCGTTACAAACGCCCTGACGATCGATCTTTTTCCATGGCTTCAGACGGGAGATCAATCGATACATCGCAAAGCACGGCACGCCACCGGTGAAGCGGCTCCGGCGCACAGTGGATCGAGTCAATTAGAGAGGTTGGACATGAGATTTTGGACTAAAACTGCACATTTTGATGTTTATTTCGTCACATTTTAAAATTATAAGGGGTGCTTCCAGCAGAAAATTTTATGGGAAAACCAATAGAACCACTTGTAGAACCTCAAAGTTTTGTATAAACGGAGTTATAGGAGATTAAAGTTTCTAAATTATGTCCGACCTCTCCTATTGACTCGATCCACTGTGCGGCGCGGTGAAGGGAGTGCGACGACGGGGCCAGGGGTCGACCTTGGCGCTATTCGTCGCTCCTCGGACGTGAGGGCGTATCTCGGTGTTCGCCTGAGCTCCAGAAAGCATGGATTTATATGTGAAACGGGGCTCATGTGAAGATCGAGATACGACCTTACGCCAGAGGAGGCGACGCATTGAGCACTGACGATCCCCATTCTGCAAACGTGGCCCAGCAAGTGTCGGCAGTGCCCTGTGCGTTGATTTCATAGATCCCGTGCTATCGCCCATGCAGAGGCAAATCCAACAATTGGGCAACACCGGATTCCCTCTATTTAAACCTATGTTAAACAATCGATTCTTGTCGGAGCACCTGGCCCCTTCATGCATCGATATATTTCCATAGGTTTAATGGAGAAAAGCAATTTTGCTAATTTGCTGGATCCGCCAATGCGCCCATGTTGCAGGTGAATTTTGTGCAACATCCCCCGTCAGCGTGCTGATTCTTGAAATTGATAGACAAAGCCATGGATAAAAAAAGACGTTGGGAGTATGGGACGATCCTATTGGTTGAAATGGGTGGTTCTTATAGAATAAGGGGGTAAATCATGGACTAACCATAGGGTCTCAAATGAGTTGCCGTTGTTAGTCTATTACCTCCCTCCTTTGTCCATTGCAACCACCCGTTTCCACCAATAGGCTCTCTCCATATCCTTTTCGTCTTCTTTGTCTATAGCTTTGTCTATAGCTTTGTCTATAGATTTCAATGATCGGCCCGCTGTCACGGATGAAAAAGGTAAAATATGATATTGAATTCGTCAAAACAAGTGTTTTTGGTTTGTGTTGCAGATTGGATGGCCTGCTGATGGGATGCTTGGATGGTTAGCCGTGCTCGGGGAGTCTCGGCGAGGCGGGAGCGGTGAGCGAGGGGCGGCAAGACGCGGCACGCCGGGGTAGTCGGCGTCTGGGGGGTGGGCAACGTGAGTCCGCCTCCCAGCAACGTCATCCCGTACAACAACAACAGCATCAACAACAACAACAATAATAACAACAACAGCAACTCTCACTCCCTCGCACACAAATTCATGGTCAAATCGACGATGAACCGGCAGTCGAGCCTCGCCAGGCTCCTCAACACCGCCGTCAGCAAAAAAATCAGCCCCAGTAAGTCAGAATTTATCACTCCATAACCTACACTGCCGTGCCAAGGAAGATAACATCATATAAACCTTTAGGCGTTGCCAAATTTCCTTCAATAACACGAATTTCCTCAGTCTTGCACTGATACTCATCAGAGCTCTAAAGTAACGATGCAACTATTCGTGGTCTGTGGATGTCTGTGTTGCATACATCAAAAGTTGAAGGCGTTTTGAGAGTTGCCCTCCCGGCGCGCGGCAACGCGACGCGACGCGACTACACTGACTCCATTCCAGGTAGGTGACACCATAGAAGGTGTTGCTCCCAATGCTAGAACAAGGAACGGAGTCTTACCGAGTATAAAACTTCAAACCTCTTTTTATCGGTACAAGTTTGATGCGACCTGTTGCGTTTTTGTTAAATTCAGTCCTTTTGTACTTCACGCTGATGACAGAACGGATCAATAACGCGTGGAGCATATAATCAGTCACAGAATCGTAAAGTTTTTGAATTTCACAAATTGGGAAAAAAGATTGAAACCACCCAAACGACAATCTTCTGCGTCAAATAAGACAACATAAAGCAACAGATGGAAGTTTTAATCGTGTAGTGCAGCGAAAATACCCTCTCGGAGTAATGTGAAATTCGACTATTTAAGTATACGATTCGTTGACTTATATTCCAGACGCGACTGATCCATTCCGTCGTCGTCTTGAAGTAAGAATAGACCGATTTTAATAGTAATGAACCAACAAAAAGAAATGTTATTCTCCGTAGGACTCGGTTGCCTATCCTAAAATTCGGGGCAATAGGTTTTAACGACCTGGAATGGGGCGAGCGCAGTCACGTTGCCATGAGGAAAACTCTGAAACGCCTTCAGTTTTTGATGTATGCAACACGCACATCCATAGAGCACGAATAGTTGCATCAAGGCGTTACTTACCCTCGACGACGCGGTGGGGCAAAACACCGACTCGGCGTCGGCGCACAGTGGATCGAGTCATTCCGAGAGGTTGGACATGCGATTTTTCCCTTAAACTGCAAATTTTGATGTTTTTTTCGTCACATTTTAAATTCCAAGGGGTGTGTCTTTGGTGGGAAATTTCACAAGGAAACCAATGGCACCACTTTTAGAACCTCAACATTTTGTATTAGCGGAATTATAAGCGTTTAAAGTTTCCAAATTTTGTCCAACCTCTCCTATTGACTCGATCCACTGCCCGGCGTATTATGTTCTACTGCTGTCGGCGATATTCTTCAGAATTTTCATTTTCAAAGTCTTAAAATTTGTTATCGTCACTGGCTCAACCCCAGTTTTTTAAAATATTTTGCACATTATCGGGAATGCGGGTGGCGGAAGAGACGTCACAGAATTTCAGGATAGGACTTGCCTGGTTTGGAAAGAATTTGTTATTGAAAAATTCTTACGTATCAATACATGTCGCAGTTATCAACTTGTAGCAAAGTAATAGGTTCCGAAGGCTTTCAACCAGGGCCGGATTAAGGGGGTGGCCACATGGGCCGCGGCCTATGGCGGCAAATTTAGGGAGCGGCAAGTATTGCAATTTTTTAAAAAGTAGGTAGGTATTTAAAAAAAAATCGGATTCAGAAAAAAAATTACAAACGAGGAAAAGCGACAAAATCTCTCATTTCCTAAGAGTATAGTAATTTCTAATTTTGTCGTCTTTCGGTGATACAAGAGACTGCACCTTTAATTAGTCGAGTTAAGAGAAAAACCCAATACGCAATTTGGCATGGAGTGGCATGGCACGGCACAGAAAGCAATGATGACGAGGACTTGAGATGAAAAGGAGAAGCTCTCGGCGCGGAGGTCGGCATGTAACACATAATAGCACCTACAAGACTGCATGAATACTTCACGCATTGCGTCAAACACAGTGCGGTCAGTAGCGGTCGACATGAAACGCATAGCGCCTACAAGACTGCACGAATACTTCACGCATTTCGTCAAAAACGGCGCGGTCAGCGTGAAACGCGTAGCGCCTACTAGACTTCATGAATACTTCACGCATTGCGTCGAACACAGTATGCGTTCTTGGCGGTGGAAGTTAAAATTATTAAACCACTTTTATGTTTGTTCTTGCATCATTTTTACGTGCATTTCTTACAAATGGAAGACCTTGTTCACACAGAGATAGGTTTACGGAACTTAGCCTCCGCGCTAAGTTCCGTGAACTTTTGCTAGTACTAGTAGTGTTGACAGGGCTTTCGCAAATAATGTGTCCAACACGAGTAAACGCGTCTTATGCACCCCTCCCCCTCCGGCACGTTCACTTGATGGTTTTTATTGATGTTTCAAAACGAATGAAAAGGGGGCGGCAAGTAGGTAGATCCGGCCCTGCTTTCAACTATTAGTTATTTATTGCGTTTTTCGCAATCCTGATAGAAAATGAAAAACAAAAAAGGGCAATATATGCTTGATTATTTTACTTATTGGCCAGCTTTTAAGCATCGTATTAATATGAAGGGATACGTGGAAAGCCTAAACATTTTCCACCAGTTACCGATTGGTTCTTACTGCCGTGCTTTGAAAAAACGCTGTTAGAACATTGGAGAGTTGAAAAATTTCCTCTGTCACAATATTCATTCTTGAGAATGTCAATGGAAATTTTTCCTTGAAATTTTCTCATAGTTATGATTAAACTTCTCGGATTATTTAATTTTTTTGGTGAAAAATCCAAGGAATAGAACGTACCAGAATTTTTTTAGGAAGCCCATTTCATTGAAGATATTTGGCAAATTTTGAAAACCTATACGACACTCCGATATACCCGGGTTCCTCTTAAAAACGGTTTTCCCCCCTGATATTATATTTTAAATTTTTTCCGCTGCGAGTGATCCTATCAAATTTTTGGGAGCTGTAGCGTCGGACATTCTGGAGGACTGGAGAGGTCTGGAAACTGGGATTTCAGGAGTCATGTTTTGCTTACAAAATCAGAGTTTCAGAGAACCTGAGACTGAAATATTAATAGTCCTGGAGAATTATGATTTGTACGACCTCGCAAAAACTGCAACTCTTTTCACAGGAGCCCCAACGCTCCTAAGCCAGTATTTTTTGATGTCCTGGGACCAAAGTGAGGGCATCTGGGACCCATCATTTTCTTAGAAACGTTAAGCGCCTTCAATTTACGAGGAATACAACCCGCAATGTGCGGGCCCTTTTACCCGCGAGGTCCGTCGCCCTGGGTCCTGCTGTACGGCGTAATATTCTCCCTCAGCATGGCAATGTAAGTTCCATATCTGCTTTTGAGAGTCAATCCGCCTCTCTACATAGCAAAATGAATAAAATTAAAAGCATTTCCTCTCAAATATATTTTGATTTCAAATAAAGAATAAGTAAATAAATTAACAAAAATATACCTCAACTTTCGATCACTCGGCGACTCTCTTCCGTTTCTTATCGTCTTCCCGGTGAATCATCACAATCTGACGCAAGAAACTCCAATAGGGAAACGCCGGAACACCCCCCCCCCCNCCCCATAATGAGGTTAATGCCGCGTTTGAAACGTTTTTCGACAGTGCAGTGTACTGACAGTCGAGCGGTGGCACGATTTGCTCTGCTCGTTACTCGAGAACGTTCGCAATCAATTAACGTGTTCATGAGAATGTTATCTGTACTCCTCTCTGGTCATCTCTCTCAGTCGCTCGAAATTAGTCTATCGATCGAACGGTGTTAGGCATGATTTAGAGAACGATGCTAAAACTGTGCTCGCCGGACTCCGAGTTCGAGTCTTCACTTCAAGTTCGCGTCGTTTTTACGTTTGGAGCAATTTTTTTTATCGGGGCGGCGCTTGATAAATAATGGATTACTGCTATAAAACGATGGTGAAGATTAGCGGGACCAAGCCGTCAGTTGAGCGCAGTGATGATGACGGTATGTAAGGCACTTGAGAGAAGCATTATTTACTTACTTACCATCTACCATTTCGCTTAATCGGCAGATTTAACTGTTTCAAGATGTAGATCGACTATATTCCAAGCAATACTAATTTAACCACACAGTAGTCTCGATGTATTCATGTGTCTTCGCGGCGAAAAATGATTTACCTCCCTCTATTAATTAATACTCACGTTATCACCTCCACGATTCCATGATCGTACCGAGCACTAGCTCCGACCCAGTTATTTAGACGGCGGGGAAAGAACGCTCTCATTCTTTTCAGTCGAGGAAGTGAGATTGAAAAGTTAAGTTACTCGCTTACGCATGAAGCGGACTCGGGTTACGATTAATTATCAAATTAAAATTAATCTTAATGAATCATGACCTTTTTTTGTCCTTGATTTGAGCAGCTGGTTTTTATGTGCGCTCATAATGCGTGCTATTCAAATCCTGTTGTTCAATATTTCGCGGCGAACAGTTTTACTGTCAGCCAACACAATTTCGGTAACCTAATTTCAAGCTTTTTCCACATATATTCTTGCATTGATTTTTCCTCCCATGATGCCAATTATTTGGATGAATAAAATTTATTTCTGCCTTGTAGATAGCGAGACGTCTTTTATTAGTCGATAAAATACATTTTTTGCGGGAAGACCTTTAAGAAAAAGAATGCCTGTAATAGGCGTCGATCATGAGTAGCGTGGCAGCACTGACGCCTTGCAAAAAAGCTAGTTCCCCATTGCGCGTTTCGAATGTCGCCATTATAGCGAATTCCGAAAGTGATAGTAACCGAAAAGCAAAATTTATCCAAATTAATCCAATTTCAATCGTGATATGTGTCCATTATTTCCAGTTGGATGACATTTTCTTTACTCTTAGTTGGTTATTACCCGTACAATCGTAGTTGACATGGCTGGTAAGTAAGCCTCCTACGGTGTTTATATTTCGCTCCTAATCTGCTTCACATTGTAGATATTTGACTTTTCTAGTTTCGTCTTTTTACCATTTCATTCCGGTAGTGCTTCACCAGAAATTTTTACTCCTTTTTCAGGTAATGGGGACATTCAGTGGTGTTTCTCCCAAGTCAAAGGAACTCTTGACGATGATGTTACTGATGGTGAGTACCTGTCAATTGAGGGTGTTTACACCTTTGATTGTTTTCATTGTTAATTTCGAGTTTCTGCAGGTTCAGTACATACTATTAAGCTCTTTTCCACAGAAAGTTATAATTCTATGGCACGGCGTCTAATGCTCTCACCAAACCACTCCCTAACTTTCATGTTTTTGTCCTTCACAACTGAGTCGCAATATCTATCCGCAGCCTACCGGCGCATAACTGGGAGAATACAGTATGCTGACCATTCTCTAGACGCATCATACTCTCCCAATCCTTTGGTTTCGTTTGTTTGATCACTCAGTGTACCATTTTACGAATTATTTGTGGTATCAGTCCTCTCAGAGCTCTGAACATCACTAAGTATGCTATCCCTCGGCCCCTGCAAATTCTTTTTGTTTTGTCCCTCTTCTCTAGAAGGTCCTTTTCATACTTATCACTAATTATATTTCAGTAATTTCCCATGCACACAAACATTAGTTCATTCTTGAAGACAGTTTCATTCACTCAAGATTTATCCTTATCAGTATCTTATCTTTGTTTATCTCTCAAAGATATGAATCTCCCATCAGTAATGTATCGAAAACTAATGAATTGTTGAACGGTTTGATATCTCTCAGATTGTGCCAACGTACCTTCGTACTAGATCATTTACTGTTTTCGATTCAGTTACCAAATTTTCTTGACCCAGTTGTCCTCTGTTTTACTTAACAGAACAACCTCCTCAATGGTGTAGTTATTCTTCTCACTCTCCAATGAAAGTGTTCCACTGAGATCTCTGCTCCAGAAAATGATTTGTTTGGAATACTCTTCTCTCTTGTGTCAGCCTCCTATTTAAACTGTATCGCTACTGCATCTGGCACCTTACTTTAAGATCGAGCATCTATTTGCTCTGTTGTTGCTCTAAAATCTGCCAATGTTCTCTCCTAACGGCACTTTGAATCCATTACCAGGTTTTGGTTCACTGCTTTCAAGTGCTTTACAGAGTTGAGTATCACTTGTTTCTGTTATCACTGTTTTTCATTACCCGGAAAAATTTGCTATGTTGATACACATCACCCTTCACTCGCTATACACAGAGATTTTCCTCATATTCTTAGGTTCTTTCAGTGCTCAGACAACCTAGTAATTGACCGCCCTTTCAGGACACATTTGCAGTGTTACAGTCTAGAATAGAATATTAGACTGTACACTTAAAGTGTGGCCTATTCTGGAAGAATTGCATCGGCATAACCACACTTTTCCCACTAGATCAAAGAGGAGAAGAGTTTGCGACCATCAAGTTTTGTTTTATTATCTAGAAAGTTTGGTCCTAAGTAAGGAAAATTATTAATTAACTTTCTGATCGATTACTGATCAAATACCTTGCAACTAGCCTAGTGATAACATTTCAGTTTGCATTAGCCTTTTAAAGTGCCCCCTGACTCAGCTTTAGTGTACACAAGTAATTGTTCATTACATTCCTACTCTTCGTTCTCTTGTTTTACCTATTCACTCTTAAGAAGGCCTGATGACATTTCCATTCTATTTTTCTAGAAGAGTAAAATACTTCCACGAATCTGGAATAGCTAGATCTTTCAAGAATGTGGATTGGAAAGGCTTCAGACTTTTTTTTGAAGGTGTGTTGTCGAAGTAAACTTTCCGTTTGCGTTGGGAAACAGTTTACTTCGACAACACAGCTTAAGTTGTCGCTCAAAGGAAGTGGAGCTTCTGTCTGATATGTTGGCCTGAGTTGTTACCTTTGACTTCTGTGTGCCATCAACGGATTCATGTATCTGATTCTGATCATGGCAGCAGCATCTGTAAGGGGAATGTAAACACCTGTCAACGTAGCACATGACAGTTTTGGTACATCATTTTAAATTCCGTGTCCAGTACTCTCCCAGTTGTCTGAAGCAATGATATTCGTTGTCTTGAACTCAGTCTATGATGATCAAAAACAAAGTTTCATTTGGCTCACCAATACCCAATTTTCACCTGCTCTAGAACCACATCTGTAGGCATCAGGAATTTACATAAACTTGTAGTAGAAGGGAAACATAAGGGGCATCTCAAATCTTCTTAATCTTGAAGTTGAAGGAAACTGTATTTTGAACTCATCCGGAAATCTCCTTTATTTAACGGGAAATATAAACTTATGAAAGGTCAATTTTCTCGAAGGTTTTTTTTAGTTTCTCTCTCAAATCAGAAATTATTCATGAGCAACATGTGGCTGTCAACAGATGCAGTCTCAACTTTCAAGTCTGCAAGGAGATGAATGTGAGGTTTCCAATCTTGGTAATGCATGTTGGACGTTCACATTTTTGTCCGCATGATTAAAGGAGAATTTCATTCAGTTCACAATGATTAGAATCTCCTCTTTAACAGAATGGAACACATTCTTAGGAAGTCATGTTATCTTTTGTAAGGTGGCCGAAACTTCATCAAAATGATTCGGCAGCCAATTGGGTACCTCATTTTGAACAGGCAACAATTTGTCTTTTAAGACACCTCAAAGAATACGAACAACTGCAGCTTAATTTCTTAAATAAATTTAAGTATGCCGCCAAGTTGCATTTTAAAAAATTACTTTCTTTCCCAGGCATATCATTCATCTCTTACAAAATATTTTTGATGAAATAAAAATCTTAGGATTTTAAGTAAGATGAGGCACATCAGTTTATCATTAAGAAGTCTCCTAAGTAACTGCCTAAAAAAATTTGAAAACAGTAATCTATTCTATTTGGCTCAAGATTTGGTGATGAGCTTGCCAGTAATGTTGAGCAATATTGCCAACTTTATCAGAAGGAGCCAATGCTTCCTCAAGAGTCCTTGAATCAGAAAACAAGGAAAATACAAGAAATTCAATTCAGTGAAGGAAACCCTAGGAAATTTGGAAAAAACTCTGGGATATTGAGAAAATGCCTAAGTAAAAAACACAGAAAATTTTGCCTCTTTTCAGCAATTTCAGATCAAAATTTTAAGTTCTGACTGCCTAAATGATTTTATTGCTGAAAATTGGTTTTTTCCCCTGCGTCAATCCAGGGAAACACAAGAAATTGGGAACTTTTACAATAATATGAGCCCTGTTTTCAATTTCAAGAAGCTCTCAATGTCTTTATGAATCCATTTACTCCAAATTTTCTTTCTCCTCACAACCCTCCAAACTATCAATACCTGAGTTTTTAGTCAGACAGCTCTAATTGAGAGCTTGCTCATCGCACGTTGACTCATGTCAATCCCCGATTAGCCCCTAGCAGCACCTTTCAACAAATTAATACACGTATTCAGGTAGCAAATGACAGGTATTTTAGGATTTTTCGTTTTTGGTCAAGGTAATGTTAAGATAAAGTTGAGAAATTATCAGGTACGTTTCATTGTTTTCAGTCAAATTCGTATAAAACCTGTTTGAAATAGAAGTAGGTATATTCCAGGCATCTTGACAATAGCATCTTCTAAAAACTTACTCCATTGCCCACTGCAAAACTTGACTGAGTTGTTTTCATAGAATACGACAGATATTCCCTTGTCCACTTGGACAGAGTGCTAGCTGTATTCGGATATTAACTTTTATGATGATGCCTTCTGCTGATGAATACGGTAGGATATTTCAATAACCACATTCCTAAGTCAAGAACACCTTTTGCCTTATTTTTCTGATTTGATTTTCACAGGCACTCCGTTTGATTAAAGGGATGGTTGAAATTTCCAAAAATGTCTCTCTTAGCCCCTAGAATATTTTTTTCCTTCTCTCTCTTTCCTAATCTTTTAACTTTATCTTGTGCTTCGAGTAAGTAAGTAGATCAATTTTTAACATCCAGCCCTCACCACTATTTTCTCCATGCCCTTTTGAACATCTGAAATGGAACCAAATTTTTGGTAGGGTGACCTGAAGAACTGTTAGAAAAACCAGAAGCTTAAAACAGTTTCTGGGAGTGGCTCTCGTTGCTTTGAAGTACCTCGTTTCATAAGTTCAGATCATTGCTTATTGACAGTTTCAAGTGAGAAGAGAAGGTATCTCTACTTTCTTCGTATCAGTACTCTTATCTCATAATGGAGGTTTTTTAAATTATTTAATTGAAATGGTCTCATTGGTCTCTGATGTATCTTTGTAAGTAGTGTCACCAAGTTATTTGTCGGTTAACCGGCAACAAACAGCATCGGTCAATATAACTTGTTTATCATTTGAAAGTACGTAGTTTACATACATGACTCCTTTCTATTCCATTTAATTTACCTCAGTTCAGTTTGTATTAACACTTCTTACAAACTCTCACATTCATGTCTATTTTTTTCTAGTCTTGCATTTTAGTGAATTAATTCTTTGATTGTGTGATAAAAATGTCCAAGCTATGATTTAACTCTGTTACGCATTCAAATCAAGTCTACCTCTACACGAATCTATGATTCAGCGTAATGTAGAATGTACACCTTTTTTACTTTACTTACTTAGAAGTATTATTTACTGAAGAGTAAAAACAAGCATCAGAGTCAATTTCCAATGCTAAGGTAGAGACTCTGCTCTATCAAAATTCTCAACATACATGAGTCCACTAATTTTGTCATTGACCCTGTTGCATTATTATATTTGTTTTTAACTAGGTAATTTTTTTAAAAATGCCATTAGTCTTCAAAGTGAATTATTTTTTCAGTGCTCTTACAATTTTACTCAATCTGTATTTTTTATTTTCAGCGGACATCATATCATGTGTAGAATTTAATCATGATGGGGACCTTCTCGCGACTGGTGATAAAGGAGGCAGAGTGGTCATTTTTCAAAGGGACCCTGCCGTAAGTATCTTCAAATGCATCAAATTATTTATTTTTATCAGACAATTGGTTGCATATCAAGTCGCCAGTACCATGGATAAAATGTATTTTTATTCCAAGTATTGTAAAAAAACGTCTACGCTCTGTTAAAAGGTCATAGAAATTATTTTGAAATACTTAGCGCCTGCTCTGATAATTTTTATGAATCTCACCTCAATTCATATATTGAAAGGATTAAACCGTAATCGGCCTAAGATGGTGGACGAATTGGATTGAGTTCCCTTGACGAATTGTCATGCTGCTCTCTGTCGCCAACTTGTGTTCTCCAAGTGCCGTATCTTTAAATGAGATCAGTACAAACTGTACAAGGGGTACAGCAAGTTCCATTGCTTTACAATTTTCTACTAATAGAGTGCACTAAAACTTTTAAACTAACCTCTATAATCAATGACCTTTGTACCGCGAAATTTACACAAACGCAACTTCTATCCGGAACGCGTGCCTCTCATTAAAACGTGCTTCTGCAACTACATGTTTTCTGCAAAAGTGCGCACAATTGATTATCTTTGCCCAAGTGTTACCTCCTTAACTCAATTTCTCACTCAAAATTCTTGATTTGCTTCCACAATTTTCAAGTACCTTTGCAAGTTTATGATCTGGACTATCACTTCTTTATTTGTACCTATGAGTTTAACCTAATGAGTCGTTCTGATTTTTTTACTCAAACTTGTAGAGCAAAAGCAGTGTGCCAAAACGAGGTGAATACAATGTCTACTCAACTTTTCAAAGTCACGAGCCGGAGTTTGACTACCTCAAAAGTTTAGAAATCGAAGAAAAGATCAACAAAATTCGATGGTTGAAACGAAAAAATCAATCGCACTTCTTACTATCGACTAATGGTAAGAACGCTGTTTATCTTATACTTGCCCTGAAGATCAGTTCATTCTCTTAATTCTTAAGAACCCCGCACAGGACAGGGGGCTCAATGTCTCATGGTGTATTTTGATGAAACTTTAATAGATCGACATAAAGTTTATCATTAGCACATAGCCACCAAATTAGCCAATTCTACCGAGTAGAAGCGGAGATATTGAACTGTGCGGTAAAGGTAAATACGTTCTTCAAGACGTCTTTCCTTGCATGTGAAGAACACTTCAGCCAGGATACCATACCCCCTCCCTCCTTCAGGTAGCTACGAGTTGTATTTTTTTCATTCACTCTTTTCGTATAGACGCTCAGGCAGTGCATTATGATGGAGTCTGAAATGACAAAAAGGAGCCGAAACAGTGAAAGAAGCTAAGCAGATGCGGGGAGAAGGAGGGAAAACGGCCTTTGCTCTGGCCAAGCTCATAAGCACCTATCTGCAGCCTGATCGTTGAAATTTTGTGTTCGTCAGGTAGACATAGATGACATGGGTTAAAAGGCGGAGTGTGATTGGTCAGCTATTTCTTATCGGTGCTTTATCGTGCCTTTGTCAGATGGAATGGACGACATACTGTCGGAAACTTAAGAGGTGCTTGTTGTGAGTTCCACCCGACTTAGGCACGACAAAGCAGTGATAGGACATAGCTGACCAATCATGCTCTGGCTTTTAACCTTCGTCATCTATGTCTACCCGACAAACACAAAATTTCAATAATCAGGCTGCTGCATGTGAGGTCTGGTCTAGACTGCCAAACAACCAGGAGAGAGAATTTGTTATTCTTCTACCATGCTGTGACATAATGGAAAACAATCTACATGTTTAATCGCGAACATCTCCGTCCCAACTCGGTTTAATTGGCTAATTTTTTTGCTAATGATGAACTTAATGTAAATCTATTCAAGTTTTATCGAAATGTACTGGGAGCTCCTGAGCCCCCTGTTTTGTGCAAGGTTCTTCCTGAACGCCTTTTTATTCATTCATGTTGAAAAATCCTTGTGTGCTGTAAAGTAAAGTGACTCAATCATGATGTAGCAAACTTTATTATAATGTAAAAATGAAAAATTCATTGTAGAACTACCTATTAATATCTCTAGAAAGAACTACCTATTAATATCTCTAGAAAAGATTTCTTGATGAAAATCATGTATCTTCCAGTGGAAAAAGGGCACTGAAATCTATAACAAATCCTGGAAGAACCTAGAAGGATCTTGGATTAAATACAACCAATGTCATAGAATATTCAGGGGCATTCTGTCCCATTTTCACTTTATTCTTGAAACAAAAAGCATTTATAATTATGTAAACTAATCTCAGACACTGTTTACGTGGCAAACATCGTCTTTTCTCTATTAAAGGAAAATTCTGTCATAATAATTTAGCTTGAACAGAGAGCCTTCAAAGAATAATTCAGAACTGTACTACTTAGGCAATTGAAAAGGAACCAATGGTCCACAAAAAAAAAATTGAGACAAGAGGAACCTTTAAGGAAGTTAACTAGCCACCCTTTTCAGTCAACTATGGAAAATTGCCAAAGAATATTTAGTTGATGAAAGTAGGAGTCATAATAGTTTTGTGTCATCAAGTCTCACAATACTTTGACTTCGTTTTCATAGTTCATACCTCTTGTGGGTTGGCTTATTTTAGTTGCCCTCAGTCCAATACTCACAAATACATATTAAGTTTCAGAGAAGCCTTTCAGCACAGTTAGGTAGTGCATCTTTAAAACTGACATATCTTATTTTGGGGAAAAATGAAGGTCCAACCGATTACCTTATCTCTGAGTTTCTCTATTTGTATGTATTTTTTATAATTTATGGTTTATGGTCCATCATGATAGTTATTGTTTTTTTTGTTTGTTTTAGATAAAACAATAAAATTATGGAAAGTTTCGGAACGAGACAAGAAAATAGAAGGCTACAACACGCCCTGTGATCCCCACTCTATTACGTCACTAAAGGTTCGTGTTGGTTCTTTTATTCTTAAACCTGATTATTGCTTTCAAGCAATGAAATTATATCCAGAACCTGATTAAATTATGAAACTGCTCTCTTTTGTGTGCAAAGATGAGAATGTCAGATGTAAGGAAAAGTCATTTCTAGGTACATATTTTCATCAAAAGAAAATTTTGAAAAAGAAAAAAATACAAAAAAATGACTTTTTGTACCTATAACCAAGAATGAGGGTAAATACAAGAGACATGGGTTGTTAGAAGACCGGTAGCTATGTCAAGTCATTTCTGAATATTTCTGATGTGTGGTATCTGCGGTATAAGCAAAGTACAAATGTACCAGAAATGTAGCTCCTCCTGTCAAAAATTTAAATTGGAGACAAAATATTTTGAGCATGAAAATAGTCAAGATACTTTGTCCTTGACTCATTCGCCTCACTTGACGAGTATACTCGTCAGCGCACTGGTAGGACATATCTCAGTTGACAAGTTAATTTGTGGCATCTATCGGCGTTGCTACGCGATAGTTTTGGTCATCTTTTTTCGCTTTTCTGATAGATGGCATCTCAAGCGTTACAAAGCCAACAGATAGCGCGAGTTAACTCATCAGCTGAGATATATCCTGGGTGCGCGCTGATGAGTAAACTCGTCATATGAAGCAAATGGGTTGAAATTAATTGTAAGTCGTATGAAGGTGTAAAACTTGGAACCTCTCTGGTCTCTGCTTAAACTTGATGCAGCTCAGTGCATTTCTGTTCTACTAAGTGTAATTTATAAAGCTACTTTCGAAGGGAATAATTGAATTATCGCTTTTGTTTACAGGTGCCAGTAGTTAAACCTATGGAACTTATGGTAGAGGCCTCGCCACGGAGAATATTTGCCAACGCTCATACTTATCACATCAACTCAATTAGCATTAACTCTGATCAGGAAACGTACCTGTCAGCAGACGATCTTAGAATTAATTTATGGCATTTAGAAATCACCGATCAAAGTTTTAATATTGTCGATATTAAGCCAACTAATATGGAAGAGCTGACGGAAGTGATCACCGCGGCTGAATTCCATCCCCTAGAGTGTAATTTATTCGTCTATAGCAGTAGCAAAGGTACAATTAGGCTGTGTGACATGAGGCAATCTGCACTCTGCGATAGGCACTCAAAAATATTCGAAGAACCAGAAGATATTACCAATAGAAGTTTCTTTTCTGAGATTATATCAAGCATATCAGACGTTAAAATATCAAATTCTGGCCGGTATATGATCTCACGAGATTACCTCGCCCTTAAAGTCTGGGATCTTCACATGGATAGCAAGCCCATTGAATCTTACCCGGTAAGCAACATTTTCTGTCTAAATCTGTAGAAAGGGTTTATAATCAAGCATCAGAATACTCGAATGCTCCTAAAATTTAAAAGCTGAATTTTACTTAATATGATCACAAACAGAGTATTCCCAAATTCAACTCGTGAATGTTATATTTGCCTGTGACAATTAATGGAAACTTCCTACTCACCAAAAAAGAAAAACCTTTGAGTCAAATTGAGTATGAAACACATTAAATATGCAACCAAGGTTTTGGACAGTATGAAAAGTCAGGAATTAGCAGTGCCTGGGATTAGCAAGGGAATTTTTTGAGTAGCCCTCATTGTAAGGAAAAATAGCATGTAGTAGCGAGTAACGTAAGTTTGCACTGTGCCCAGGCACAGGGTTGTTACAGTCAGGGAAAACCTGCAAATTTCAGGAAAAATGACAATAGTGTCATAGAATAATAAATAAGTCACCCTCATTTGCCTCCCAGAGCAGGTATGATATTTCAGACAACAGATTTTGCGTGAAAACTATGCAAAATTATGTGTTTTCAACCATCTTGCTTCACTTGTCAGGGAATATTACCTACCTAAATGCGTCAGGGAAATTCATTTCGAAATACTGTGGTCAACCCTGTAGTTAGTTCTAAGTAAGCATACACATAATTAATGAAAAATACCAATCTAATCATCTGCATTTGAGTGCCTGATGAGTACATGATTGAAACTAGTTGTGTTGAGACACCTGAACTCATATTTCCAACACCACACCGCATAGAGGTGTTAAGGTACTTGGTCTATTGGACCACTATAAGAATCGAAGACAAAGTTTCACTTCAAAATGGCAGACATTGAACTAAGTTTATAAATGTTCTCCTTACCTCTAGTATTAATACTTGTATTATCTTTTTTTCAGGTGCATGAATATTTAAGACAAAAGATGTGTTCCCTGTATGAAAACGACTGTATATTCGATAAGTTTGAATGCTGTTGGTCTGGTGATGATAGTGCCATTATGACTGGGTCTTACAACAATTTCTTCCGCATGTTTGATAGAGTAAATAAGCGAGACGCCACGTTAGAAGCTTCCAGAGAAATCGCCAAACCGAAGACTGTATTAAAACCTAGAAAAGTAAGTCATCATCGCCGATTTGCATGCCCTTAGAATCCAGCTTCTTATATTTTTAGAGTACACACTGTTCTTACCAAATATCTTTTAAAATACCTTATTATAGCACAGAAGCATAATAAGCTGTCAAATCCCAGCAAGATGTCCAGTGTTTTTTTTTCTAAGTAACTTGAGTAAGGAAAAAGCTGAATTTGACCATATCAGCATCCTGATGGGCTGAGCATATCAAAGTGGCAAGACTCCGATTTCCCTACAGCAAGGGCTCATTACTCACATTTAATTTGTCTTCTTGTTTAATTTTTACAGGTATTCACGGGAGGAAAACGTAAGAAAGACGAAATTAGTGTTGACTGCCTAGATTTTAATAAGAAAATTCTTCACACTGCATGGCATCCGACGGAAAACATAATAGCTGTTGCAGCAACAAATAACCTCTTTCTATTCCAGGACAAATTGTAGCCTTCATTGTGCCTGCCCTTAACTTCCTCTTTCAGGTTAGTCCAGCTCTTTTTCGTACAGCTCCGTGGTTATGCATTAACATGTCATTTGTCAGTTAGAGAGCAATATTGATTGTTCCTATCAAGCAGGTCAATTAAGGATTCAATTTATTAGTATTTATGAGTATTATCTCAATTTTGCATTACAGTCAACCCCTGCTAAGTCGAATTGCAGCAGAACAAAAGTTCAGTCAGACTTTTGTGAAAATTGCAGGGAAACATCTACCCCTTGCGGAATTTTTGTATTAAAAAAAAAAAAAAAAAAAAATGAACAAATTGACCTGCGCAAAGTTATATAAATTTCTGGATGAAATCCAGAAATACCCACACTGGGCTAAGTGAATTCTGGCTTATTTTTAAATTCTGCATACAGCCTAAGCCAACAATTATGCTGTATGATATTCAATTATCCTCTATCCATTTGCCTTGGAATAGATCTGCTGATTTTCCCCATTTGTATTGCAAGATATGCCAAGAGAGACTGGATAGCGACTGGGCAAAAACACAAACGTCCAGGTTGTCCAATTTTCCCCTCCTTCTACTGTCCACCCTTGTCCCAATGTAAATACGCTACACTATATGCTTGGTTGAAGTATAATTCCCTCATCTTTCTGTTTCATCTCTATCTTCATATCCCGTCCCAGTGTTATCAAATTGGTTTGAAATTGTCTATTTTCGCTATTCTAATTTCGTGTCAACATGGACTGCACGGTGCACTGTACTTTATGCTTGTAAGAGAAAACTCAGCACTTTGCCTATCCTAAAGAAGGAGAAAATTCTAAATAAGATGAATCCGTTCAAAATTGGGAAACTTCTGCTTTTGGTCGTAAAGCAGAGTGCAATTGAATCCCTCGGCATCATTTTTCAAGATAACTCATCATCATTGCTGGAGTCTATAGGTTTTAGAACGAATGTCAGTCAGTTTTTTTCACATCTGCAGTAATTTGGCAGGAAAAGTTTAAAAGAGAGGAGAGGAGCTCCCATTGGGAGAAATTTATTGAAGTTAAACCGATGCTATTTCGGTCGCAATTCAAGCTAGTTAGTGGCAGTTGCATCATGAAAATTCAATGGCCCCATGCAAAAATTGAACTGAACGATGAAGTCCTCGGAGGCATATAACTTAGCAGAAGTAGACTGACGGAGCTCACAAAAATCTAATTTGGCCACATCCTGTACCTGAAAAATCCCTCAAGAAAAAGGCAAAATCCCTCTCCCCAATACTGGGTAATCACATGTAATTGGTTATACTTTTCTAATTCATTTAAATAATCAAAGTTAGTGAGTTTATTCCTCAAAGAAATTTTGTTAAAATTAAGTAATTCAGTAAAAGTTGAAGCAATACCTCTGCAATCTAAGGTTGTCGATAAGACAACCCCATTTAAAATGTCAATATCATCTAACTGTGTTTAATTTTGTTTTAACAGTGCTCTGGCTAAGCTGGAAATGGATGTAGGTATATCAAGTCGCCTTAAAAAACATATTTTGTGGTGACCTGATCAGTTCTTCAGTCCGCATCAGAGTCCTCTGATTTTATACGATCCAATGCAAGAATTAAATATAATGTAATTTACCTTGTTCACGGAAACATTTAGAAACTCTTTACAGTGATTAAAATCAAGGAGAAGAGACTTGCAAAGTTTTTTTCTACAAATTCGAGCCTTGTAGATAATTACTTCAAATATAATCATTGTGATGTTTAGGGAACCTAATCTTTGAGTACTTTGTTTCTAATTAAAAGGCTTTTTTTAATTTACAATATTTATTTATTTATTCATTCACTCAATTATTTATTTTTTTATGTTTAAAATCAATCTTGTTTAAACTGCAAAAAGGGCCAGCTTGTAAATGTGTACATTTTATCGTTCATCAAAACGTTCAAGATCTACTCCAAACTCTTTATGTTTTAGCTTGTTGTTAGGCAAATTTGTACATACACTAATCGGACGGAATTCAGCAGAAAGGGAACAACTCTTACTCTAAAGAAACAGGGGAAAAGTTTAAAAAAAAAAGAAAAGAAAAGACAAGAAGAAAAATGAACAAAGCATCAAGGGTTCTCGACCCAGATAAGTTCCTTACTTCTTCCCGCCTAAATTTGCAAGTCCATGAAAAAAAATGATTTGTTTGTAAAACTAAGGAAGATATATTGACCAACTTGAACTTTTTATTTATTGAGCCAAGTAAAACTCGCAGTTTGTGAAACGTACGGTTTTAATTAGAGAGGCGGTGGTTTTACTCTGCTTAATTCAATCTGATTAAAGAAAAAAAAATACCATCTTACAGCAATGTCAGTTGATTAAAAGTAATAGATATATGTACATTACCTCGTTAATCAGCATTAAGCTGCATGTGCTCATATTTACATCTACTTTCTTCAGTTTTGATTGCCGGTTCCCTCCCTCCCCCCTCCCCCCTCAAAAAAAAATTCAGCGTTTTCATCAAAAACCTTGAGTCCATAGCTCCTTTGCGTTTTCAAATATTTTTAAACAGTCAAATGGGTATTAAGTGATTTTCCTGATTTACTAAAGTTTCAAAGTCAAGGTGAAACAACTCGAAACAGTATTTTTTCTTTAGCTTTTATCTTTAAATTTGTCTCAATGTATTTTGTTGAAGATTCTTTCGATCAGTATTATAAACGTATATCAAAAGTCCTCTGGATGTGGGATATTGTTTTTTAACCAAACGAATTTTAGTCTGTTACTCGGTGGTATACCAAAGGATTTCCCCGCTTTGTTCGCTCTTTTTGTTACTTTGTTGTTTTATATCTTTAATCTGATGCTTTAATATATCTGAATCAGTTTAATCATGATGAATAAATAAGTCAGTCTTGTGTTGCTTAAATTCTACCTCTTCGAATATAACAGCCAAATTTGTGTCACTGTATTCTTTAGTTTCACCTTCTCAATTTTCTTTCTTTTCCCGTATTTTCTTAACTAAGTGGATACATAAACCGTAACACTCAGTGGACAAGGAATTTTGCTTTGAAGTTGCCGAGAATCTGCTCAGAACTAAAAATATGAAATTCAGACCTCAAATCCCTTTTCTTTTCTCTCGGAGTTTTTGAGTGGAATGAAGGATAATGCTTTCTCAATGAAATCCATAACAATGCTAACCGTACTCCCAATTATTCAAAATGGTGGGTGATCTTTAAATTTTAAAGTAACAGGAATTAATTTTTAAATCCTGTTGAAGCTTAATGCTAGAGCTAAATCAAAAAAAAGTCATTAATTGAATTGATTGACTTTAACATCACTAATTCTACATACATGTGAAGTCTTTACTTTTGGAGAAATGACTCTTTTTCAAGTACAAATATTATTTCAAACGATAGCTTTAATAAATTCTCAGTGGCTCTCGTGAAGAGGATTTTTATATTCACTGCTGTCGCTCAGGAAAAACGAATGGTAGAACTCATCTTAGGCTGCTTCTAATCCAAGTCAGCCAACTTTAGGACTATTAAGCTTTTGTAATCACTCTTACAGGGAGTGAGGTTTTTTCCCTCCTCATATTAGCTAAAGGCAAATAAATGAAGTATACATTCTAATAAGTTGAGTTCCTCAGCTCTGCAATGGTCTCTTGTTTCATACTTGTTTTGTGTAAAAAGCAGGCTATAACATTGAATTTTTTGGTTTCTTTTGGGGATCGTCTCATAAATTGAATACCGGTGAAACACAGTCACATATCGCCCCATGAAGAATCCACACGCATTTGCGGATATCGCCTTTTTTTCCCGTTAATCGCAGCTATTGAGTGTTTGTGTGAAAACAGCAGCCCAAATTACGGCCATGTTTATTATTTTTTGAATAGAGATTTCACAAGTATCATTGCTTTGCTGTATCAGGAGACTGAACTTGCATATTCTACCCAACATAATATTGCCATTATAGTTCCTTCTGTTACTGTTCAGTATTGAGAGGCCCACTTTTGAAACAACTTGTGTAATAATGAGAGGCCAAATATAACTGGCTGTCTTACCTAAAGGATCATTTTTCTTCATACTTAATTTTTGCCATAACTTTTTCTTGTAGCGATTCAGCACACTATCGAAACAGAAAGGTCCAATCACCTTACCCTTTTATACCATGCTGACATTGCCACTCCATCGAATCAACTGTAGTTTGTGTAAATATGTACATGAAAGTATAATTTTAAGTACAGTTTTGTAAAACTTTAATTTTTATATTTTACTATTTCCCCTCTTTTTACTTACATCAAAATGTTTTTACGATTTTATCGGTCTTCATAGATATGAAGCGAATCTTTATGGCCATAAAACTTGACAGTTTACTGAACTTGAATACTAGTGAATAAAAGGAAAAAAGTTAAATTATTTTTAAAATTAGTTTTAACTATTATTTAATGAGAAAATTGATTAAAACTTTTCCCAATTATTTCTTGTGTTGTTCTTATTTGTAATTCCTCATCACCTGTAAATCACCTCTTATCTCCGACCTCAATTAAACATACCATATGCGTCCTGCTCGGAACTGAAGCAGGAGCTCCAGAAAATTGATAGATTATTATGTCCCATATTCTCCAGCGAATGAAAGAAGGAAGGAAAAAGTGTTTCAAGTGCAAGCTTTAGCATATTTCTGTATTCTTAAAGTTACCTCACATCTAATGATTATAGAGAGAAAGAAACTAAATAAAACAATTGCTTTAAAAGCATGCTCCTGAGTAGAGGAGTCTCTATTTTAAAAACTTTTCCACTAGCAGTCTCCATGTCTTGTTTCCTCTGTTCTCTGAATAACCTCTTGGCAGGGACTGAAATACATAGTATGAATCACTCATTGGTTTTCCCTTTTTGAGTTTCATGACAGTTGCCAGACCCAGGAGGGGGGGTTAGGATTAAGGGACAGACTTGGCATGCAATCGCATCTGCTTATTCCAAGAAAGGCCATCAGGTTGTAGATACTTTTGAAAGCTCATCTACAATATTTAAAGGCATGGCTACATACCCCGTAAAAAACTCATTGTTATTATTAAGGTGATTCGTCAAGCTGAAGTGATGTGGTCGAACTGGCATGCGATATATCGCATCTTTGAGGTAAAAAATCTTGGCAGATTTTTAATTTTCAGCAAAAAAAAGGACAATAGCCCCTGCGCATGAGCCTAAAGAATAATTCTAAACCCAAAAATCGGCAAAATTCAGAGAAATGATAGCAGAATAGTGTTTGGAATAAAATCTCACATTCGATACAGAGAAACATAGCTGAATCGAATGCGAGGTTTTTTTCCAAACACTATCCTGCTTTCATTTCTCTGAACTTTGCCGATTTTGGGGTTTAGAATGATTCTTTAGGCTCATGCGCAGGGGCTGTCGACCTTTTTTTTGCTGTAAATTCAAAATCTGCCGAGATTTATTACCTAATAGATGCGATATATCGCATGCCAGTTCGACCACTTCTTTTGAGCTTGACGAATCACCTTAATTTGATATTGGCATTGATAGAATAGGTAACACTCAAAATTTCTGATTTCTTTCTTTATGAAATTGTTTATAATTCTTCGTTTGTTATATTCTATATTGATCATTACTCTGTAGGTACTTATGTATGCACATACGTTCTATACGTACATAATTTGGACACTGAATTTTTTTGAAGACAATCCTCCAACTACCACTTGTTGATCTCATACTTCTTAGAACGTTTAAGGAAGCACTGAATACATATCGTCCCTAATTTTGACTATTACTCTGGTTTTACTAAATCTTGATTCTCAGAAACGCGCAGCAGTGTGCCCGCTTTTCAAATACTTGGCTCATACGTAAAAAATTGACACCTGTGATCTGGGCGTCAACATTTTCTAATTTTACCGCTCTTGTAATCGTAGAGCAGCAATAGCCAATCAGCACCGAGTTGAGCACGTGCTCGAACTTGACCAATCAGCACCGAGCCAAGCGCGCGCTTTTAAATACCGCGTAAATTTAAATTAACGCTCTGCATTTCAGTGAGCGTCTTATACTGGTAGTTGCTCGCGAGATGATTAACAAATTTAGAGATTTTACATGCATTGAAGGAGGGAGGGTCATAGAGGCTTAGTATTGCAATGTTGCAGATTCTTAGTTAAACTTACTTCTTCATTCATTATTAACGGGCATGTTGGATGATACAATTAGCGTGGAATTTTTGTCCAAACACACAAAAATTGTAATTTGAAAAAGAAAAAAAAAATTGCATCAGTTCTTGAGTAAGTGAATAAATCGGAAAGTGATGCTTGGTATAATGTCGTGATGCTATTTAGCCCCTCGGGTTTCATCCCCTCTATTTTGCAAATCTTAAACCATATCATTTTCCTTTTCGAAAATGGACTAAGTTTTGCAATTTGGAACTATAAATTATAGCCCGGTTTATCAACAACGTATGCGCCGTTAGTTTCCACACGCACACAAGTGTTTTTCCAGAAAAGCCAGAATTTATAGTTCCAAATTGCAAAATGCAGTCCAAGTAGTGATCACAATCGCAACTCTGTAAAAGAATGA